CGCGCGTCGGCACATTGCTGCACATGCGCTTGCGGAGGGAGAAGCGCCAGAGTCCGAGGATGGCCCAGCAGTGCTTAGCAGAGCATTGCAAGGCCCCGAATGCCCTCTGGAGGCCCTCCTGGTGCCGACGTAACGCTTCCAGGGTGCCGGAAGCGGTATCGTTTCACTGGAAGGGGGAGGCTCTTAAATACTTCTCGGGGTTCAGCCTGATGTGTTGAAACAAGACAGTATCAGCCAGAAATGTTGTGAGAGCATTTCGTGCAGACCACAACAGTTTCTTCGAACATTCTTTGGTCTGCCTAAAGGCAAGCCAGGGCGCTTCGCCACTGCTCGATACCGTGCAAACATCGACTTTCGGAGGTCCGCGTGGATCTCTCGGATCGGCGCCTGACCTCCCAGGCGGTGCCTCTGGCGCCGCACCCTGCTGCGCTCCGCGAGCAGGGGAGGGGGATCCAGCGCCTCATCCAGGGAATCCGCGCGGACCTCCGAACACACATGGGCGATTTCGGAAAACCTGAATCCAGAAACGTTTTCATCTCTTGGGGGCACGTCTCTTACTTCCGCCGCCTTCCGACGAGCTTCCGCCGGCTTCCGCTGGCTGACGCCGGCCGCCGCTGGCGGAGGCGGCCTCTTTTGACTTCCGCCGACCTTTCGCCGAGGAAGAGATGACAACTCCTCCCATCCTCGAAGGCACAAGGCCCTTTGTGGACGCCCCATCCGTTTGTGGTTTTGTGCTTCTTGGAGCCCCTGGGCTTCCCACACCCCATAGAGCTTCGCGTTGACGCTGCGGGTGCCGTGCTCCCGCCCTCCCCGCCTCGGGGTTTGGGCCGAGGGCGTGCCGGTGGCCCCGCCGGCTCCCTTGCCAAGGCCCGCCGTCGTGTCAAGAGGAGGGTTCCACGCGGCGTTGCCGATGTTTGTCCACTCGATCCCTTAGGATCGCCACCGTGGAGTTGTTGATGGTGTCCTCTGCCTCTTTAGCCAGGAGCCTCCACGCGGGCGTGCCGATGGTGTATCACTGGCGCGCGTTCCATGACTCTTCGGCGTGACGTTACCGATGAAGCCAGTGGGCTGCCAATCACCATGGATCTTCGCCGTGACATGGCCGACAGTGCGATTTGCCTTCAGACGTTGCCAATTGTGTCGCTGGGCACATACTTCGTCAAGCAATCCTTTCCTGCCTCCTCGTCCTGCTGCTCCTCCGCCTCCTGCTCCTCCTCGTTCTCATGGTCGCCCTCGTCCTGGTCCTCCTCCCTCCTCCCTCCTTCTTCCTTCTTCCTCCTCCTTCCTCCTCCTCCTTCCTCCTCCTCGTCCTCCACTTCCTCCTACTCCTCCCTCCTTCTCCCCTCTCCTCCCCCCTCCTCCTTCGTCCCTCCTCTTCCTTCGTCCCTCCTCCTCATTCGTCCCTCCTCCTCCTCCTCCTCCTCCTCCTCCTCCTTCCCTCCACCTCCCTCATCTTCCCTCCTCCTCCTCCTCCTTCTCCTCCTCCTCTTGCTCCCCCGCTTCCTCCAACCTGCCTGCCGCGAGCTGATCTGGGGATCACCTGGCGGTCCTCTGGCAGCCCGCAGAGAGGGGGCGGCCTCTCGGGAAGCCGCCAGGAGCCTCCCGGGAGCCCGCAGGGCCCTCCCGGAACCCCCCGGGCCCTTCGAAGAGGGCCCCTGCCTTCCAGCCAAAAAAAAACGCCCGGGCCCTCTCGGAAGGCCGCCCCGCCCCCCCCCTCGCGCCGCCCCCCTGGAGCGCGCCGCCGACATCCGCCGTCGACCACGGGACAAGCCTCCCGTCTGCCCCGGGCCCCCCGGCCCCGCATCCTGCGGAGGAGAGCCAGCTGAGGCATCGGCGGCCCTCCAGGGCGAGAGGGGGTGAGGAGGGCGAGGGGGAAGATGAAGAGTGCGAATGCAGGGGGGGAGAAGTGCCACAGGTATGCTCTGGCCTCCTGGGGTGGAGGGAATCCTCTTTCGCGTGTCAGCCAGCGTGGGCCCCGTAGTGTAATTTGTTGCACTGTGGATGTATCAGCTATGCAATCTACGGGGCCAAAGCTATGTGGTGTAAGGCACGTGGTGCAAGCAATAAGGTGCACAACATGTGGCGGCAACGGGCGATGAAGCGGCGAAGCGGCGAAACCTCGGCGGATCCCCCAAATAGGCGGCAACGGGCGGCGATGCGGCGAAACCTCGGCGGCCCCCCAAGTGGGCGGCAACGAAGCGGCATCGGGCGGCGACGCAGCGAAACCTCGACGGATCCGCAAAGTGAACGGCAACGAGGCGGCAACGGGAGGCGACGCGGCTAAAACTGGACGAACCCACAAAGTGGGTTGCAACGAGGCGGCAACGGGCGGCGACGCGGCGAAACCTCAAAGGGACTCTCAAGTGGGCGGCTACGAGGCGGCACCGGGCCTCGACGCGGCGAAACCTCGACGGACCCCCACGTGGGCGGCAACGAGGCGGCAACGGTCGGCGACGCGGCGAATCGCGGCAACGAGGCGGCAACGGGCAGCGACGCGGCGAATCCTCCACGCACCCACAAAGTGAGCGGCAACGAGGCAGCCACCAAGCGGCGACGCGACGAAGCCTCGACGAACCCCCCAAGTGGGCGAGAACGAGGCGGCAACCAGGTGGCGACGCAGCGAAACCTCGACAGACCCAAAAAGTGAGCGGCAACCAAGCGGAAGCGGGCGGCGATGCGGCGAAACCTCGATGGACCCCGCAAGTGGGCGGCAACCAGGCGGCAACGACGTACGGCGACGCGGCGAATCCTCGACGGACCCCCATGTGGGCGGTAACGACGCGGCAACGCCCCCCGCGTGGGCGGCAACGAGGCGGCAACGAGGAGGGAACGGGCAGCGGCGCAGCGAATCCTCCAAGCACCGACAACGTGGGCGGCAACGAGGCGGCAATCAAGCGGACGCTGCGAAACCTCAACGAACCCGCAAAATAAAGGGCAACGAAACGGCAACGGGGACGCAACGAATCCTCCACGGACCCACAAAGAGCGGCAACGAGGCGGCACCGGGCGGCGACGCGGCGAAACCCCGACGAACCCCAACGCAACGAGGCGGTGAGGCGGCGCCGCGGCGGGCGGCAACGGGCGGCGACGCGGCCAAACCTCGACGGACCCACCAAGTGGGTGGCATCGAGGCGGCAACTGGCAGCGACGCGGTGAAGTCTCCACGGACCCACAAAGTGAGCGGCAACGAGGTGGCAACGGGCGGCGACGCGACGAAACCTCGACGGACCCCCCAAGTGGGCGGCAACGACGCGGTAACGAGCAGCGACGCGGCAAAACCTCTACGACCCCCCAAGTGGGCGGCAATGAGGCGGCGCACAAGCGGGGACGCGGCAAAACCTCGACGGACCCATAAAGTGAGCGGCTACGAGGCGGCAACCAAGCGGCGACGTGGCGAAACCTCCACGGACCCATGAAGTGAGCGGCAACGAGGCGCCAACGGTCGGCGATGCGGCGAAACCTCGATGGACCCCGCAAGTGGGCGAGAACGAGGCGGCAACGAGGCGGCGACGCGGCGAAACCTCGACGGACCCCCCAAGTGGGCGGCAACGAGGCGGCCACCAAGCGGCGACGCGGCGAAACCTCGAGGGACCCCCCAGTGGGCGGCAACGGGCGGCGACACGGCGAAGCCTCGACGGACCCACCCAAGTGGTCGAGAACGAGGCTGGCAACGAGCAGCGACGCGGCAAAATCTCGACGGACCCCCCAAGCGGGCGGCAACGAGGCGGGCGGCAACGAGGTGGCAACGGGCGGCGAAACCTCGACGGACTCATCCAGCGTCGTAGGAACGCAACTGAGAACCCTGAAATGCAAGCACTGTTTTTGGGAAGAGCGCCCTTCAGTGAATAGAGCGGCCCGGGGACACACCAAGAAACGTACACACAGCCCATAGTTCTTAGGTTTTCGTCCTCCCTCCCGCATCCGTTTTCCAATCTCTCCCTGGGAGCCGATGATCATTTGCGTCTGAGTGGCACCGTCCCGGGGCCAACCCCGCGGGCGCAGGCCCGCAGCGACACGCGGCCGCCACCCCCTCCCTCCCCAGCACCGCCAGAGGACTACCTTCGCGTATCGCCCTGGCGAGGCGGGGGTCCCTCGACCGCCGAGGCTACGGGGGCGGCGCTGGAGGCGCCGCCACGTGGGCCCAGCGCCGACCCGTGAAGGCCGCGTGGGTCTCCGACAGTTCACGTGAGCGCGTGTGGTCTTCGCGGAACTCTTCCACGTCGGAGCGCTTCCCCCCTCCTCCTCTCGCGCGGCCGCCCTGGTCTTCTCTCCTTCCCTCTCGCACGCGGGACAATTCGCCTGTCGCGTGCCCCGTTTGGCTTCACGCTGGTGCGGGCTGCCCCTGCCTCGCCGCCGACGAAAAAACGTGTACGTGTGTGGCTCCTGCTTCCCGAGAGGCAGAGAGGGGGCCGCCGAGACCTCCAGCTGGCTCCGCCCCACCTGGCCCCCTGATTGAGCCCCTGCCTGCAGCAGGTCGGCTACTCTTTGTTCCGTCGGCGGCGAGGCAGACTTGGCTGCACCAGCGATAAAGCTCGACGGGGGCACCGAGAAGCGGTTTGGCCAGCAGGCAGCACGCCGGCTACCACGCACGGGCGGCCCTGGGCCAGAGCGACCTCTGGTGCGCGGCTCGCCGATCGCGCTGCGTCCAGTGCGACGGCAGCAGCGGCCTGCGTGCCTCGGTCAGGCCCCCGCGCGCCGGCCGACAGCCGCGCACCAAGGGGTCACCCCAGCGAAGGGCCATTCTCACGCCAGAGGCCTCCCAGATGGGGTCGGAGGATCGCGCCGCATCGCCGATGCATCGCCGATGCATCGGCGATGCACCAGCGATGCATCGTCGACGTGGGCGGTGCATCGGCGACGCCAGCGTGGAGAGAATCAAAATCCGACTCGCGCCGCATCGCCGATGCATCGGCGATGCGGCGCGGTCCTCCGACCCCATCTGGGAGGCCTGGATCCTACGCGTGGCCGAAGCAGGGAGGGGGGGCCGAAACGCGCCCCTCCTGGCGAGGCGCTGCTCCGGCACAGCTCGCTGGGCTCGGGGAACAGGCAGTCGGCCAGCAGGCCCAACCTCCCCCCCCGGCCCCGCCCGCCGTGCGGGGCCGAGGAGGCAGCAGCGCACAACCGGGTGGCGTGAATCCGGAAACAGCTCTGAATCCATGTCCGATCCGATCCTCCTCCCTCTCTCTCTCCCCTCCTCCTCCTCCTCCTCCTCCTCCTCCTCCTCCTCTTCCTCCTCCTCCTCCTCTTCCTCTCCTCCTCGTCCATTCCTTTTCCTTGTGAATCATTTCTCCCTGTCGCACCCCACCGCCAGCTTTTAGGGCAGGCTGGGCGTTTCGCCTGAGACTTCCTCACCGTTTATGACCCTGAAGCTTAAAACTTGGCAGCAGGTTCACATATGGAGGGCGGGTGATTTTCAAAATGTGGCTCTCGCCCTAGCGCCGCGTACACTCGTTGTAAACATTTGAAAGAGTTTCACGGACTGAGGGCGGGTGGTGTTCAAAATGTTGCTCTCGCCTTGATACCGCGCACGTTCGCTCTTAACATGTACAAGAGTTTCGCGGATTGAGGGCGGCCCGTCTTCAAAATGTGGCTCTCGCCTTTGCGCCGCGTGCATTCGTTTGAACAGTTTGCAAGAGTTTCACGGATTGAGGACGGCTCCTCTTCAACATGTGGTTCTCGCCTTAGCGCCGCGCACATTCGTCTTTACAATTTGCAAGAATTCCGCGGATTCGCATGGTCAACGTACCAGAAATTCTGTTTCGGACGGATTCAAAATTTACACGTGCCAGGAATGGCGTTCTGGCACGGTTCAGGACCGTCAAGATGCAAAAATCAGGTTCATCCGTGGCGTTGGAACTCCGAGAACAATGTTTTGGCATGCTTCAGGGTCTTCAAACAGTTGTCTTCCAACGAGGCAGTTCCCTCATTGGAATTGAACCGTTGTGGGGGCCTCTGAAGAGGGAGCTTGGAGGGAGGGTTTATTCCAACATCGTTGATGCCTGGCTCTTGAGTTTACGCTGGTCCTCTTCCTCCTCCTACTCCTCCTCCTCGTTCCCCTCTCTTCCTCCTCCTCCTCCTCCTCCTCCTCCTCCTCCTCCTCCTCCTCTTGCTCAAACATCTCGGAAAACATCCGGATGCTCTCTGTACCGACGTCTGCCTGGATGCCCTGTAGGTGTCCGTGCTGGGCTCTGCGGGGATTCTCGCGGAGCCGCCGCCGCCGCCGCCGCCGCCGCCGCCGCCGTCGCCGTCGTCGTCGTCGTCGTCGTCGTCGTCGTCGTCGTCGTCGTCGTCGTCGTCGTCGTCGTCGTCGTGAGAAAGAGATAAAAAACAGAGGCCATGCGCTGCCTCCCCCTTGGAACACAGCTTACGGAAGCTTTTTGGTCATTCCCATAGCTCCCAATCGCCGCAAAGCGGACGTAATGCATCTTCTTCACATTGCGCTTTTGGGCGCTACTGGTCGCTATTGGGGCGCTTTTGGAGCGCTACTGGGCGCTATTTGGGGCTATTGGGCAATGTTCGCCGATATACTTTCTATCCAACATGAAACTTCCGTGACTTACTATCTAATCTCCCCTTCTGTTGCATCCCCGGGGGACCTTGTCTGTCCTGTCGCGGCCCTATCCGCGTCGTATCCGTGTCGTATCAATCTCGGACTCGTCGGATCCGTGTCGAATCCGTGTCGAATCCACGCTAAATCCGCGTCGAGTCCACATCGAGCCCGCGTCGGGCGCAAGAAAAGAAGCCAATTTTTGGTACAGGCGAGGCCCCCCGAAGATGCAACCCCACTCCCCGTCCCCTCTGGCGTCAGCAGCGACGAGAGGCGACCAAGCCCGTGGCTGCTGCCGGCGCCACACCACGCCACAGACGCAGCCACGAGGGCAGCCTCTGTCGTCAGCGCTCCTGCCGCGGTCCCACGGCCGGGGTGGAGATCGCAAGGGACGCAAAGCGTCGGCCCCGAGAGAAGCGGGCCCTGGAAACTTTTCGCTGTGTTCGGGCCTCAAAACGGGCTGGAGATGGCCAGGGACGCAAAGCGTCGTCCCCGACCCCGAGGGGGCCAGGTCCTGGAGGTTTTCGTCGTGTTCGGGCCCCATGACCGTCCAAAAACAATTGACGATGAAGGGGTGGTCCCTGGGAAAGCTCCTGGGTCTACGACCCGTTTCCCTCGGGACGCCCTTCCTTCGTGGGGAGGGAAAGAGGAGGATTTCACAGTGGGCAAGGCAATGGCGGCGCGCCTTCCCGGTTCCCCCCCTCTCTACCTCACGTCCCTGTCCTCCTCCTCCTCTCCCTCTCCCTCGCCCTCCTCCTCCTCCTCCTCCTCCTCCTCTTCCTGCTGCTGCTCCTGTTCTCCCTCTCCCTCGCCTCTCCCCTCCCCCGTTCCGCTCCCGATCTCCTACACCTCCTCGCACGCACGCGCGCACTTTAACGGTGGTTGAATGTTGTGGCTTATTCTAGATCGTGCTTGCCAGCGTATGCCCAAGGCACTGGGTTCTTACAATCTCGGTGTGCGTTCTTTGTGGTGCAATTTATGCGGCGCAATGAATTTTGGCCGCATCCGTGCGTGACCACCTCCGTGCAAACATCCCACCCCCCTACCCGCAACGCTCGCGCAACTCAACTGGGCGGCGACAGCGAAGATGACGGTGGCGATGTTCATGACGACAGTGGGGACGTTGTCGACGACGACGGTGGTCACGATGCTGATGGTGGCGCTGATGACGCTGTCGATGATGACGATTGTGCTGGTGAGGATGATGTGGAAGTGTGCGCGCGTGCAGAAATGTGACGAGGGACACTTCGATGATGACGATAATGACGATGGCGGTGAGGATGACGACGACGATGATGACGATGGCAATAGATGACGCTGGCGATGGTGATCCGCTGGCCCCCTATGGGGTTTTCAGGCTGTGGGAATGAGGATTTCCTGTTTCAATTGCCAGTATACAATGTCATGACATAAAATCAGGCTTCCTGTTGTAATTCGTTGCTGTCCGCGCGAGAAGGGGGGCGAACACCATACATGTACCGTCCCAGGATCACATCCTTAGACTTCCTGTGGGGACCATGACATGACGAACAAATCACGTGTAATAATTTACGACAGGCTGGCGCCGCCGTAGCCAAGGTTGTGTATATGACACCAGATTCGCGCCTCCAAAACCACGATCCCGAGGGAATTTTGCTAGGTTGGCGCTTTTGAAGCCACGATTCTCCGAAAAGCATGTGGGGTTCGCGCCCCCAAAGCCCTGATCCCCAAGGCCACGACTTTATGATAGTAATGCTAGATTTGCGCCTCCGAAACCACGACCCGTCGTAAATTACAATACGGGGGGGGGGTATTTTTTTATCCTATCACCCTGGGGCTTATCATGCACAGACAAATTCGGATGCCGTCAAGCAAGGCAAGCGGGGCTGACTGCACCGCAGAGCACGCTCGCCAAAGAGAGAGCGTCGACCGCCGCCTACTGCTGGAGCTGAGCCTCGCGCCTCCGCAGCCGCTCCTGCCTGGCCCACGCCCTCCACGGGGAGCCAGGCCCGAACGTGTCGCGGAGCCAGAGGCGCCCAGCTTCTCGCTCGGAGGCTGAGGGAGCTGGAGGAGCGTCGTCGCCGCCTGCGCCCTGCCAGCCCGGCCTCCGAATATCGCGGTCGACCGTGAGGGCCACGAATCCCGCGAAGACGTGGCGGCGCAGAGCCAGGAGCCGCTTGGGCCCGCGCGCGGGCTCCTGGCGCGCCACCGTCTCCGAGCCGAGGGGCGTGCAGCCGTCGCCGACGCCGTCCTCGCCGTCCACCTCATCGATCCCCCCGCCGCCAGAGCAGGAGCAGGAGCCCGAGGGAGGCGAAGTGAGGAGGGCGTCGTCGTCCAGGCTCCTGCCGCCGTTGCGCTGGGGCCCAGCCGCCTCCACGCCGTCGTCCGAGCCGAGGTGCGGGGAGAGGTCGAAGCCGCCGTGCGCCACGGCGTCCGAGGCCAAGGACCTGTCGCCGTCCTGGTTGCGGGAGCCGACCTCCTGCATGCTGAAATCGCCGTCGATGTCGCCCGCGGCCATCTCGCTGCCCCCGCTGAGGACGGCAGACTCGTTGGCCAGCAAGTACGCCGTGACGATCGAGGGGTCCGCGAAAGCAGCAGGCGAGGAGGTGCAGGCAGTGCTGCACGCCGCACCAGGATCAGGGAGGCGATGAGGATGAACAGCACCACCTTCAGAAGGCCGAGGGGCAGGGTGCTCGCCAAAGCCACCGCTGCTCTCAGGCCTTGCCAAGGCCGAGTCATCCAATCCCTCGACGCCAGCGTGCCACCAACGCGGCCCAGAAGCCAGCGGGGCCGCAGTGGGAAGACCCGCGCTGCGCACGAGCTCGGCGAGCGTGAAGGACGCGCCAGCGGGCAGGCTGCGCCCGCGCCTGCGAGCCACACACCAGTCCGTCGCCACTCCCTCGGCCGCCGAGCGCTGGGCAGGCACGCGGCGGTGTGGATCCACTGCGCCAGCAGGGCGAAGCTGAGGAAGAGCAGCGCGACCACGACCACCAACACCGCGTCCTTGCCGAGGCCGACACCCTGGACCGCTACGCTGCAGCCGATTGAGCGAAGTCAACCTCATCTTCGCAATTGATGCGCCTCTCCTCGAAGCGCAATGCATGCCAGCATTCCGCCTGGCGGTGGCCAGCGGCGGAGCGCGCCTGCATGCTCCCGAGGAAGCGGCCCCATCAACGGTGAGCGACGATGCAAGCTCGTTGCTGACGTCCGCGCCGAGCGTGCCGCACCGCGTCCCGCTGCTGCCGCCGCAGGGGGGCGGCGCGGCGGGGGCAGCGCGGGGGACCGCGGCGCCAACTGCAGCTGCGCGGCGGTTGGCGAGCATGTCCATCAGCACAGGCACGGCCAGGGCCAGCCGCGTAGCGAGCTCCTGGACCAGGACGTCGTCGGGGACCTGCTGGCTGCCGAGCGGAAGAGCCGCGATCCGCACGGCCTGCGCCGCCGCCTCCCCGCGCACCGCGCGGCAGTCGGCGAGCTCGGCCTCGAGCGTGGCGACTCTCGCTAAGGCAGCCGCCAGCTTCCCGTGGGCAGCATTGCGCGCAGCGCACTGGCGGGCGCGGCGCGCAGGCCAGAGAGAAGCCGCGGCCCCTCCCGCCTGCCGAGGCTGCTCGGCCGCCACAGGGGCAGCTTGGCAGCCGACCGTAGCCATCACCCAAGCACCCGAACTCTGCGGCCTCCCGCGGGGCCCAAAACGAGAGCGAGCAGAACAGGGAACGGCTTGAGCCAAAATGGCTACGGACGGGGGAGGTATTGGATCAGGATACCTTCGATAAGGAACCCAGGGTCTCGCGTCCGATGGGCGGCCAAACGTGGACAACCCACCTCGCATTGAAACAAAAAGGAATGCGCCAGGGTCTGGGCCCCATAAAGACGTCCCTTATCCAATGCCGCCGCCGTAAATTCGCGTTCCCGAGGCCGCGATCTTTAAGACATGACGCCGGATTCGCGCCCCCGATGCCACGAACCTTCGTAAAGTGATTCGAATTCGCGCTCACGAGGCCACGATCCTTTGCAAAACACGCTAAGTTCGCGTTCCTGAGGCAACGACCCTTGTTACAATTTCGTAACGAAGCATGCGTTTGTGTGTTGTTTGCAAACAAATCAGATCCCATTATGACAGAGAGGGGGACGGCGGCAGAGGGCGAACCCTTACGGATAAATGGCGGTTGTGCTGATGAGGGTGATGCGGAAGTGCACGCCTGCAGAAATTCAGAATTTCGGACACACGGTTATGGATAAGCACCGGCAGCAGCATCGTCAGAAGTAGCATCAGCAGCACCAGAACCAACACCAACACCAACACCAGCACCAGCAGTAACAGCCGCAGCGCCAGCAGCAGTACCAGCATCATCAGCAGCAGCGGCACCAGCAGCAGCATCACCAGCAGCACCAGCACCAGCAGCAGCCCCTGCGACCCCCTCTCCCAAAGATCTCTCAATCCCACCAACCCTTTCGGCGCAGGTGGCCTAGGTTGTTTCCTGTTCTCACCTCCTTCTGCCCCCGATTCGGGGAGGTTTGCTCCCGCCCCCATCCTCCCGGGTCTGGAGGGGGGGGGGGGGGGGGCACGCCCATTAGAGCGCCCAAGATGGCCCCAAGACAGCCCCAGATGGCCCAATATTGCCTCCAGGATGGCCCACGATACCTCGCAATGGCGTGGGATGGCCTCCGACATGCCTCCAAGAGGCTTTAAGACGGCTCCAACACGGCTCCACGTGCCCTCCGAACCCTCCAAAGGCCCCCCCCAAGAGGCCCCAATCTTTCAAACTAGAATTGAAGACGCATTATAATTGTCTTCTCGCCTTTCCGCTTCCGATGGGCCGTTGAGGCCTCAAGATAGCTCCGAGATGGCCCAAACGAACCCCAAGAGGGCCCCAAGAGGGGCCCAAGAGGGCCCCAAAACGGCCCAAAGAACGTTCCCAAAGCGGCCCAAAATTGCCCAGAGACGCCCCTTGAGCCTCCGAGGGGGGGCATGCATGTAGGACCCCCTCTCTTTTTTGAACCATGGTGCCCAAGACGGCCCCAAGAGGCCTCCCAGACCCTCCAAAAGAGCCCCAATACCCCCCAAGAAGCCCCATGAGGGCCCCAAGACTGCCCCAACAGGGGACCCCCAAACAGCCCCAAGATGGCTCCGAGAGATCTCCGATAACCTCTCACAGCAACACCTCAACTCGCCCGGGCATCGTTTCTGGATGGGCTGGTGGGGGTACTTTCTGTTGACCGACCGCTAGCGGACAGCCGCGCGGCGTCATCAGTCAAATGCAGCCAGGCCTACGTGCAGGGCTAGAACCTAAACAATAGCTGGCAATAAGGCTGGTGGGAATACTTTTTATCGCAACCGCAGGCGAAGGCGCCAGCGGCGAGTCGAGTCAGCGCGGGCTACGAGCGGAACTAATTGCCGGCGCGCGCGGAGCAAAGCAGGACCTACCGCCGGGGGAAGCGGCTGCGCCGAGGCTGTGCTGCAGCGCCGAGGGTGGGGACTGCCAGCTGCTGCGGCTGCCAGGAAGCTGCAAACGTGCGGGTACCATGGGAGCTGAATCACCAGGTATGTGAATTGGACCTGCTCGCCCCAGGGCGCCAGAGGTCCGGGCTGCGGACCAACGGGGGGCACGCCTGGCCGAACGAGAAGGCCGAACCACTCCTGAGTGACCCGGCGGGCCAGAGTCCCAAAGGGCCAGCGGACAGGGGGCCAGAAGCCAGGGAAGTGCAAGCGCTCGTGCCGGACCTGGCGCGGGTACCATGGGAGCTGAATCGCCAGGTACGTGGGAGGACCTTGTCGCCACAGGGCGCCAGAGGTCGGTGCGCCACAGACGTGGCGAAGCGCGGGGCCACATGATAGCCCGGCGAGTGACAGCGGACCGACGGGGGGCGCGCAAGTCCGTTCAAGAAGGCTGAACCACTCCTGAGTGAACCGGCGGCCATGACCCCAGAGGGCCAGCAGCAATGACAGACGCGGCCAACTGTGGCAATGACTGGGGACCAGATGCCAGGGAAGTGCAGACACTCACGCTGGAACTGAGCAGGACGCGAGTCCCCAGAGCGCCTCAAGGCCGCAGCCGACTCCACGGAGCCGAGCGGGGGCCAAACGCGAGGGACAGAGAGGCGTGGGCCGAAGACGTCGCGCAGAGGGGCCAGTGCCAAGGAAGCCGAGCCAGGCCGTGGCCGGGTCCGGGCACTCGCCAGGGTGAAAACAAGTACAGCAACGGCCAGGGCCGAAAGGCACGTCGCGCCCCGCCACAGCTGGGCCTGCGTAGCCGTTATTGACGGCGCCAGGGGGCCCGGCCCCGAGGGCGGGGAGGCCGAGCCAGGTGCCGTGCTGGGGCCGACACTTGACGACGCTGGGCCAGCAGCGGGGGGCTGCAACCCGCTGCGGTCAGGTGCGGTGAAAGCCAAGGTGAGCACGGGGCCGCAAGCACTGAGGGCGGCGGTAACCGGAGCCCAGGCGCTCGAGACAAGAGGCGTGAGCCGGAGACGTCACGCAGAAGGCCCAGTGCCAAGGGGGCCGAGCCAGGCCGTGGCCAGGTCCGGGCAGTGGCCAGGGTGAAAACAACTACAGCCAACGGCCGGGGCCGTGAGGCACGTCGCCCCCGCCGCAGCGGGGCCTGCGTACCCGGCATTGACGGCGCCAGGGGGCCCGGCCCCATGGGCGGGGATGCCGAGCCAGGTGCTGCGCCGCGGCCGTCGCCGGACGACGCTGGACCAGCAGCGGGGGGCTGCAACTCGCTGGGGCCAGGGGCGGTGGACCCAGAGTGAGCACCGCTACAGCAGACGGGCAGGCCGTGCATCAGCACTATGCGCCGCCTCGCCCCAGCCAGGGCATCGAACCAAGTATTGACAGCGCCAGCGGCCTGTTCCACAAGGGCGGGGGGCTGGCCAAGCGCTGCGTGGTGACCGGACCCGGTCGCGAGGGACTCGGCAAACGGCTGCACGACCCCAACGTGAGAAGCTCAATCTTTCAGCAACTCAGGGAATCCACCAGCGGTGGGCGTTTCTGCGCTGGGAGCACTGCCAGGGAAGTGACTAACGGTCACACTGTCTGTGAAAGGAGCGGAACTCAAGGGACTAACGGTAGCCCTTACTGGGATGTCGGCTTGATTCCAAAGTATACCGGGCGATCGATCGAAGCCCCCGCCGCGTGGGTGTCCGTCTGCCGGTCTCCAGGGGGGGGCGACGAGCTGCCTGCGGCAGACGACCGCGCGTTCACTCTCGAGCGCTCCCAGAAGACCGCTGCAGCATGCGGCCGCGCTTTCCGATGCACGCTCCTGAGGCTCTAACCTGTGAGGCGCGTCTCCGAGCGCGGGCGCGCCATCTGTAGCGCGCCCACCTGCCGGCGCGGCACTGCCTCCGGGAAGGGGCGAGTTCTCGAGCGCCTATCTGGCCCCCGCCGCACTGCTGCCCCAAGGGCGCTGGCAAGAGTGAGGAGCCGCATGGATGTCCGCTTGCCGGCCTCCAGGAGGGGAGGGGGGGGGGGGGGGCAGCGAGCTGAGGCAGACGGCGGCGTGCTCACTCTCGAGCTCTTCCTGGGGGCTGTTGCAGCCAACGGCCGCGCTTTCCAACGCGCACTCCTGAGACCCCATGCATCCGGACGTCATGAAAAAAAACCAAGACACGAGAGGAAGTCATGATTTTAAACCAAGACGTGAGCGAACAACCAAGACATAAGGAAAAACCATGACATGACTATTGCTGGATATGTTGTCCAGTACACATAATTGTATCACAGTAACCGAGAATATCATGTGATAGGTTGTCAGCTACACCAGACACGATGATTGATTAAACCGATGCGCACAGATCAAGTGGAAGCAGATTTGGGACGAGGCCGCACGACCGTGGTTAGCGCTTGTATCGCACTCTTTGCACACACGTATGTACAAGTGTTGCCTGATTTTATAAATATATATAAACCAACAGTTGCATGTGCGACATGTCGCACCGCTCTCCGCGGCGAACCTCGAGCCCGAGACGGTCGCGCCGTTCTCGGTCGGAGAGATGCCCTGGGGCGGGAGGGGG